ACCTACTGTTTAGTTGCACAAATGGTAAAGTACATATAGGAAAGGCAAAATAACTCCTTGTTTCTTTCCTCTTCTTTAGTCAGTTTTTAAGATGTATTGGTTTGCTTTTATCCTCAGGTGACCATTTTTTTTAAAAAATATGTCCTGATAGAGCTGGGGCTATATATAGCTCAGTGGTAGAGTGTTTGCCTAGCACATGTGAGGCATTATGTTCCATCCTTAGCAGCATCACAAAAATGAACAAATAAAAGCATGCTGCTCATCTACAAGTACAAAAAATTTAAAAAATATATATTATGGGGGCGGCTCAGTGGTAGTGCACTTGCCTGGCATGCATGAGGCACTGGGTTCTATTCTCAGCACCACATACTAGTAAATAAAATAATGGTCCATCAACAATTTTAAAATATTAAAAAAATACATTATGATAAACTTATAGATTTAAACATTTGGTATGTTTCTGTTCATTGTAAGTCTTACTTTAATACAAATTAAATTGCTTTTTGACTAGTTGGTGCCAGTGTCCTTTTGTCATGACCCTGGTAATTTTTGGTAGCTTTTGGTATGTCAAGATGTTCCAGACATATCTTGTACATTTTGTTTTCCAGACCTGCTATTTAGCTACTCAATGAAAATTTTAGTTCTAAATATATAAGTGAATATTCCAGATTTTTGCTTAGTCTTTTTCCTCTCCACAAGGTAAACCCTGTTATCATTTGGCTTTATACCAGAGTCCTCACTTTATACTCCTGAGTATTGAAAGATTCATTGACTGCCTAAGGTGACATTAGCATATCCAGAACTCAAGTAGTCTGACTCCAGAAACCCCGAATTAGTTGCTATGCTAAACTACTGCTGTTAGACCACATTATTCTAGCTGAGTGGTTCCATTATTCTGGTTATTTCATTATGATTATTGTAGGTGCCTTTCACTTAGTTCTGTTAAAATCAAATAATAAGCCATATTTCTAAAAGTTGTTTATATTCTTTTCTCTAGACTCATCTCCTGGAAACACTGTCCTTAGATGAGGCCAGATGCAGATGCCCAATTCAGTCAATGCTTTTACAAATTGCTAACACCATTATTTCACAGTTTACTCTCATTATGTTAGCCTTCTGGTCATGGTGGTGTACACTTATAATCCCAGCTCTTCAGGAGGACAAGGAAGGAGGATCACAAGTTTGAGACCAGCCTGGGCAATTTAGTGAGACCCTGTCTTAAATTAAAAGAAAAGAAAAGGCTGTGGAATGTAGCACATTGGTACAATGCTTTCCTGGCAAACCTCAATACCACAGAAAGGGAATGGGTAGGTAGAAGTGAGGGGAAAAAGAAAAGGTCATATTTGTAATTACCTTGTGGAAGTTTTCCTGGTTTTGATATTACAGGGTTTGGGTCTTGTAAAAGCAGCAAGAAGGCTCCTCTTTAAACCTTGATTCTTGTGATTAAGTCAGAAAGATTGCAGACTATAGCTCAGAGTAGCAGATATATATGAGTTTATTAGAAAGGATAGCAAAGGGGGAGAGTGAGTGGGTCCTCTCAGAGAAGACAGGGGCAGTATGCCTCTTCTGCCCTCCAATTTTATTGGGAGTCCCAGGGAAGTTTGTAGAGAGTCCTGCCCAGGTCCACCTCTCGACTTTTGGTTGACAGCAAGGTGATGTCAGACTTTCAAGTCACCACTGTCATGACAACTCTAGGTCACTTCAGCTCATGCCTGACCAGTTGTAATTGGAACCTGTTCTTAGAAATTTTATGATCAGGGGGAGTTCTAGAATCTGGTCTGTGAAAGGGTCACAATAATCCCCCTTTGGGGTAACTTGTGTTCCTCTCATTGGAATTATTTTCAGCCTGCATTTCTGCAGATAACATTTTACTGAGGAATGTAAAATATCCTGTCCACTTAATTCAGGCAGGGCTGCAGATAAATTGCTTTTCAAAGGTGAAAGCATGTGTGTGTTAGCATAGTGGGCCCATTTTATAGAGTATTCCCTTAACCTCATGTTCATTTTCCACTCACATCTGTCCACTCTGTCATTGAAAAGGGACAATAACAGGATTGAGGCTGAAAAATTTTTAGATAACCCAATTTATCAAATATTCAAATATTACTCATTATGGGTTGATCTCATTTGTCCTAAGCAAAATTCAAAGGCAAAAAAATGATATGTTCTACATAGATAACATGGGTCAGATCACTATTTCACCAGATTGAATATGGGCTCAAAAAAGACCTAGTTTTTTGAGACATACAGTACATTATCATTATCTATAGTAATATCCATTATCTACGATTCAATGGCACAACAGAATTTCTTATACCTGTTGACTTATAACTTAGAATTCATTGATAAACCTTCCCCATTTCACCTCATCCCCCACCTTTTGATAATCACCACTCTACTTTCAACTTATGAGATCAAGTTTTCTTTAGATTCCACATGAGTCAGGTTATAATGATACTTATCTTTCTGTGCCTGGTTAGTTTCACAGCATAATGATTGCCATTTCCATCCATGTTGCCACAAATGACAGAATTTCATCCTTTTATTGCTGAATAGTATTCCTTTTTATCCATGTACCAGGTTTTGTTTATTCATTTATCATTTGGTAGACACTTGCTTCCATTTCTAGGCTACAATGTACATAGGAATTCAGATGTTTCATCAACATACTGATTTCATTTCTTTTGAGTATGTACCCAGTAGTGTGTACATACTAAGCATGTACCCATTAGTAAATCCATTGCTAGATTATGTAGTCGTTATATTTTTAATTTTTTGAAAAGATTTTCTTACTATTTTCCAAAAAGGCTGTACTAATTTACATTCTCACCAACAGTGTGCAAGGGTTATCTTTTCCCCTGAGCAATAATAACAAAAACCAGCATGGGATTGGAACTAAAACAGACTGGTAGACCAATGGTACAGAATAGAGGACGTAGAGACTAACCCACAAAATTACAATTATCTTAATATTAGACAAAGGTGCCAAAAACATTCATTGGAGATAAGATAGCCTCTTCAACAAATGATGCTGGGAAAACATGAAAATCCATATGCAACAAAATGAAGTTAAACCCCTATCTCTCACCATGCACAAAACTCAACTCAAAGTGGATCAAGGACTTAGGAATTAAACCAGAGACTGTCTGTCTAATAGAAAAGTACACCCTAATCTTCATCATGTGGGATTTAGGCCCCAACTTCCTTAATAAGACTCCTGTAGTGCAAGAATTAAAATCAAGAATCAATAAATGGCCCTTTCTTATCTTGAAGCATTTCTTTTTCTATTAGTTCTAGAAGTTTCATAGTCTTCCATTTAAATCTGCTCTATTTTGAGTTGATCTTTGTAACTGATGAAAGAGAAGTGTCTACTTCATTTTTTTTTCATGTAAATGTTCAATTTTCCTAGCACCATTGATGGTAAAGACTGTCTTTTCAACAATGCATGTGTTTAGCATATTTGTTGAAAATCAATTTGATATGAGGATTTATTTCTAGGCTGTCTATTTTGTTCCATTGATCAACATGTGTTTTTGTGCCAATACCTTGTAATCTTGATTATTGTAGCTCTGTAATTTGTTTTGAAATTAGGCAATGTAATGTCTCCTGCTTTATTCTTTTTGCTCAAAATGCCTTTGGCTATTTGGGGTTTTCAATATTTCCATGTACGCTTTGTTGGGGGAGGAGGGTATTTGGGATTTAACCCAGAGGTGCTTTACCATTGAGCTATATCCCTAGCTTTTTTTAAATCTTTTACTTTGAGATCAGGCCTCACTAAGTTACTCAGACTGGCCTAGAACTTTGAATCCTCCTGCCTCAGCCTCCCAAGTTGCTGGGATTATAGGCTTCATATACATTTTAGGATTTCTTTTTTTTTTTTTTTCCTGGTTTCTGAAGAATGTCTTTGGTATTTTGAAAGGAATTGCATTGAATCTGTAAAACACTCTGGATAGTATGGATATTTTAACAATATCAGTTCCTCTAGTCCAGAAATATAGGATGTCTTTCTACTTTTTTTGTGTCTTTAATTTCTTTTATCAGTGTCCTATAATTTTCATGGTTAAAGATATTTCACCTTGGGGTTGGGGATGTGGCTCAAGTGGTAGTGCGCTCGCCTGGCACGCATGCGGCCTGGGTTCAATCCTCAGCACCACATACAAACAAAGATGTTGTGTCCGC